CAAGTCATTTCTTAAACGACTGTGATTAATAAATTTAAAAGCTATTGTTTTTTAATTTGTGAAAAATTTATTGCCAATGTTTTTTTTTTTTTTGGATAACATCCATTTTGTTTTTAGTTCCATCTAATAATAATAATTATTATTAAAGATTAAAGTGCCATTATTTACAACAATTACAATAGTGATGAAGTAATTCAAAAGGACTAAACAAGTAAACTATGAGTCTGAAAAAGGTTTCATAAAAAGTTCATATTTTAGTCTTTTTTTGAATGTTTCTATAGAAGTTGAATTTCGCGTGTTCAAAGACAAACCATTCCAAATTTGAGGTGCTGTCATACAAAAAGACTTTAAGCCCAGTGATGTTTTTTGATGACGATGTATAAGTTGGCAACTGTCTAATAGTCTTGTATTTTTTTTGAAGTTCGGACTTCTAGGAGTTCAAATAAATATGCAGGAGATTTTGATAGTAAAATTTTATATGTGATAACTGATATTTTATAGATTGTTCTTTGATGTATTGGTAACCAATGAAGAGATTTCAGCATTATTTCAGATTTTTAATGGAAAGGAGAGTGGAAAATAATCGAGAAGTTATTTTGAATTCTTTGAAGTTTTTTTAAATTTTTTTGATAAGTGCCAGATAAAAGGTTGTTACAATCTACATCTGATACAGTTGATAAGTTTAAAAGTCAATTCTTTTTCAGCAGTTTATTGATTTAATTCCATTTTCAATTCCAATTTTTTTGTTTGTTTCTTTATTGCATCTTTTCGTGATATTAGTTGAATCTACATCCTCCACAGTTGGTAAATTTAAAAATAAATACTTTCTTATATATGTATTGATAACAAAATTTAATTTTTTTTCATTAATTAATTAGTTGTTGTTGTTTTTTTTCTGTTAGTTACACCTTTTTTAAATTAAACTTCGACACCTGCTGCAGATGTCAATGTCATTTCTTTTATTATGGCTATGCTATGGTAGAATTCCCTTAAAAACACATACCCCTTACACACTACACGCATAAACTTTTCAGCTCTCGGTTCCACTAATGTCAATAAAATTATTAAATAATGATTGAATCAGTATCTCTAAACATCCTAGATGACAAATTAATTAAAAATTTACCTCTTTTACAATTTTAAAATCCTCAAAAAAAAAATGCAAATCAATTTTTAGTTTTAAAAATGGTTCAAATTATGCATTATGACCTCCTACTGTTCGATAGTTTAATTTTAAGTTTGCAATTATTTTATTTCTAGATAATGTTACACTTGTTCTAATCCACCAATGTAATGTTAACTAATTTACAAACTCTTAAAGAGATGTTTCTTTTGTATTTTTTTTGCAGTGCTATGTAGTTTTTTGCAGTGCTATGTAGTTTTTAAGGGGTCACTAGCTTCAAAATAGGAAATCTAGCTTTTAATACAATAAGAAAAGTATTTTCTTATTATTTTTCATATTTCCTATTGTTCAAAATTTACATTGTTAAAAGTTATTTAATATAGTAACAGCTTTAATAACAGCAACAATTATTTTTTGAATAACATTAAATGACAAAAAAATATGAGAAGCATAAAATAGTTCGAAAATGAGACATGCAATAAGCAAGCATTTCATCTAAAGAAGTATCTTTGAGTCATTAAGATTTATTTGAATCAGAGCCAAAATAAAGTGTGTTTTTTTTTTAAGAATCAGAGGATGATGCTGCATATGCAGGGAGAATCCTTGTCGGCTTTTTGTTATCAATGCGGCAAGTCATTTTACTACATACAGATTTAAGAATGGAATGACATTGAGAACACTCTTCTAAAGATTTTGCAAGACATTCTTTTACACAAGAGCATTGCAGTTTGCAACGATCAAATAGTTCTTTTTCTTTAAACTTATGTTTATTTTTCTCCTCTGAATCATGATTTTTTTTCTGTTTTTCAAAAGCCACTTTTGAAAGCCCATCTTGAGCCTCCATAGATCCATACACATTAGTGACTCTTGTTGTTTTTGATTGATTAACCTCCTTGTATTTTACCCGGTTTACTAAAAGTAAACCAGGAATTTCTGCTAAATTGAGGCTTTTCTCATATGATTCCTCAATATATGATTGTGACATTTTATACATTGATTTCCAATATTCGGCTGAACCATTCCTTCCTTTTGTTGATCTTGGAGTAGTGCCAAGGGTCCGTCTTTTGAGGTCACACGTCTTTTGAGGTCACAGCAGCTGCAACGATATTGGCAGCAGATGCCCAATTGTTCCACAATGTTCCAAGGATATTCATGAATCTTTCTCGATTTATTGTCTGGAAAGACGAAAAGAGTACATCTCGGGTGTTGTTATAATATCGATGGAGCTGTTGATTTGGTGCTTGGTCTAGTAACTGTGTGACTCCAGTAGTATCACGCGAAGACACAAATAAATTGATTTGCTTTTCACGCAAAAAATTAAGAACTTTAAAGTCAAATTGCGACGAATGAACATCTAATAGAAGCACAACTGGTCGCTATATACCTTGTTCGGTGAAATGTTTATCAAGTTTCTTATACGCAGCCAATAATGAACAGTTATCTTGCGAATCACTCTTTGACGTGGAGATAATCAAATTTTTGATGTTACTGACAGCTTTTTGTGGTGCCATCTGGCTCGCTATACCTTTGCCAGCAAATATTACCTGACGCAATAAAATCTGCCCTAAAAGTATAAATATAATGTTTCACTTTTTAAAATATAAAACTATAAAAGCCACAACTTTAGTGTAAAAAGTTGTTTAGTTGGCTCACCTGATAATGAAACAAATATGTTATGCACTCTCTGTTTTCGCGAATCATTTTTTTTACATGTCTCTCCTTTGCCAGCATAAACTAACCCAGTGACAGTACCATCTACACCGTAGTTGAAAAACTGTGGTGTCTCATCATGATTGAAAACTCTTTCTGTTGCAATATCACCAACCCATATACCATTTTTTGTTTTTTTATAGTTCTTCATTATACTACAAGCAATCAGTTCATTGGCTGAGGCATCTGGAATAAAAAAAAATTGTAAAATTAGTAATGTAATCAAGTTACTTACAGTTGTTTTACAACTTGGTTTTTATTCAAGAATAAAAACCAAGTTGCAAAACACTTGAGAATAAAATTGAAAATAGATCTTTTTAAACTCAGGCTAAACTAAAAAAACAATATGTGATAAAAAATGTGTACCTAGATGATCTGTAGCCATCTTCCTAGGACAATTTAGGGTTCTGTTCATTTTAATTCGGCCTTGCCTCTTAATGACAATATCATCATGTTCAGCGTGCCATATTCTTAAAAATGATTTCCCGAGTTTAAATAGTTAGGATAATAAGGTTCAGTATTTTACATCTATTTAATATCTACTGTACCCTTGTACCTGTTTGAATGTTGATAAATTAGTTTAAAGAAAAAACTTACTTTCCATTTTGTAGAGCTGTTTTTGCACTTGATGATAAACTTTCTTCAACCTTTTCCATTTTTGTTCAAATGATCTTTGATTTTCAGAACATTCAAAATAATTTCAGAAACTTCATTCTTAGAGAGCCCCTGGTGGGCTCTGTTTTTGTTTCCGATAAAAATAAACTATTTCCTTTTCATCATCTGGATGTAACACTCTCAAATGTTTCTTTTTTACATTATTAACTTTGCCATCTAATCTTCTGTCTATTGTACCACGATCTTTAATAGGCGGTATTAAAAACTTTCCTGTTTTTAATACCGCCTGTCCTCGTTTTTTATTTTTTGTGCACCAATTTACTGCCTCTGCTAATTGATTTTCTTCAGCTCTTATGTCTTTTCTGTAAACTGTTGCTTCAGCTCGAGTTTCTGGCTTTGTCTTTGTTCTACCTCTTTTTCTACCAGCAGAAATATTAAAGTTAAATTGCGGTTTTCCCAAATTATTATTTTATTTAAACACTAAAAATAAAGAACATACATACAAAAAGAATAATATACATTGAATAGAGATAATGAGCACAAAATGAACAGTAAGGTACCAGTTATAACCATTTTACCATTTCTTAGTTGAAGAAGATCATTATAAACATTTTCTCCATTCCTGGCTATTCTAAGTGAGCTTGCGGATTCATATTTTACCTAATGTAATGTAGTATTTAAGAGGGGAAATCGTGTAGTTTTTAAGAGACTTTACTAGCCAAAATGCTATTTTTTATTGGACTAAGTTAACAAGACTACTTATATATCATACTACACTAATTACTCATGATCTGTAACGCAGGTACTCCATTTTCAGAATTTGCGTAGTTTTTAAGGGAACTCTACCTGTAGATTTAATATCAAATTCAATTTTCTTCTAATTGATTACATTTTTTTTTACTTTTAGTTTCATCAACATCTTTGTATAGATCTAATGTCTATTTCTAATTTTTTTTTTAATACTTTTTTCTTGGTTACACTTTTTTTAATCTATATCTGCCACAGTTGCTAAGTTTAAAAGCTATTACTTTTTAATTCTAATTTACTAATGCGTAAATCAAATTTTTTTTTTGTTGATTACATCCTATTTTTCCTTTAGTTAAATTTACATCTGTCACAAATAGTAAGTTTAAAAAATAATTATTTTTTAGCAGTGTTTTGATGTTCGCTAAAAAATCATTTATTTTGTTAGTTACATTTTTTTTTTTGATTTTTAGCTGCATCTACATCTGCTATGGTTGGTAAGTTAAAAAACTATATCTTTGTTAGTCCATAGTCTATCTCATTAAAATTATTTTATATATTTAATCTCGATTTCATTTAATTTTTGTTGTTTACATCATTTTTTAACTTTACGTTCATGCAGCACAAAGTAAATGTATAAATTGAAATATTTCTTAATGATTGTTCTTTGTTTTTGATAAAATTTAGTGCTTATTTATATTTTACAAAAGTATTCTTTTTTAAATAAACAAATTCTTAATTGAATTATTTAATTTTTTTTATGTAATGGTTTATATAAAATAGTTCAATAATACTTTTAAATCTTAACTAATATAAATGTTTATGATCTCTTTGCATTTAGAGTTAACATATCAGGTCTATCCTACGGCAAGTTTTGTGACTTGTAAACATGTACAGCAAGTTTTTGGGTTTGCAAACAAGTACAGCATGTTTTGTGGCTCGCAAATTTTTTCGATAGATGGCTCAGGCTTACCTTGGCGTGGTGTCTATTGTTAAAAAAGATTTGTTTTAATTTATAAATGGAATTCAAAACATAAATCATTTACGAAAAGCTAAGACTTTTTTTATTTTTAAATTTCAAAAGACTTGCTGCTTTGTATTTTTTTTTTAGGTAAAAGTGGGTAGTCCTTTCCTTTACATGACGAAATGGATACTCTGATACATCTTGTAATGTGGTAAAATAGTTTTTTATACTATTTTTCTGTGTTTAAAGAAACATTTTTAAAAAAAAATTTTAATTGCTTTGTTGCTTAAGAAAGCATTTTTAAACATTTTTTGATTAAATTTAATTTTTATTTAGGTACGGGGCGGAAGGGGGACGGCTTACGCCCTCTTCCATGAAGGCAATTTATAGACCACTAGTTACACACTAAAAAAAAGGTAGGAATTTTTACCTTTAAAGGTATATCACATCTCCTACCCCTTAAGGTAGAAAAATATACTCTACATAATAAGGTATTTTAGTCTACCTTTATAAAAGGTAGTAAAAAACACCTTAGGGTATAAGTTACTAAAGTAGACAATTTTACCCTTAAAAAGTATATTTATCTACCATTTCGCCTACCTTTAAAGGTATATCATATATCCTACCCTTTAAGGTAGAATATTATTAAGGTATTTTATTATAGGTAGACTTTTTTTACATATTTTGCTTTTTGCAATTTTTTTTCCTGTTGATGAGATTTGAAAATTTGCAACGACGCAGTGATAACAACACATTTAAAAAAAAGGTATTTTACTTTTATTACAAATAGAAGTTTACAACAATTTGTTCAACAATCGCTGAACCGGTGGACTGACACAGTACTCACTAAGCCCACAAATTTAATTGGCTAGAAATGTCAATGTTTTCTGCAGTCGCGGATCGAAGGCTATTTCAAAAACTCAGCAAGATGCTATCAAGACTTTTATTGCTTCATCGATGGATAGAACGTTACAAATAACTGAACCATCGAGGTAGATCGCTATATGCACATCTTCAAAATGCAGAATATTGGCTTGATTTGAGCAAGTAATGTTTATTGTTGGTGTGCTTAGATGATTAGTTGATTCCTAAAAAAATCAGAATTGTCTGTCAATATAAATATTACATTTATATCGACAAAAACACTGAAAATCAAAAAATCTCATCGAGAATGGTAGCTTAAAAACACTTATGAGACCTTATTTATCACGACCCATCTTTAAATTTTTTCACCAAACATGGCGGGCAGACTGGCCATGTTTGGTGAAAAAATCGATGACAACATTTATTTATCATAGTTTGTCATATTTTGATTGTCACATCTAAATTAACAAAAAAAAACTCTTAAAAAGACACTATTTCTTTTTTTTTTCGAATTTTCTGACTGCAAAATTTTAATAGTTTTAAGAAAACTTGCTAGGTGAAATTTATTTTTGTATTATTATAAAAAGATTTCATTTTGTCAATTGACAAAATGAAATCTTCATCGATGCTCTTATTTGTTGACAGCATCGATGCTCTTATTTGTTGTGCTAAAAATATGTATACGCTTTTTTGAATAAATAAACATAAAACAAATATTAAATAAAGAGACATTATAAACCTTCTATATTGACATCTATATTGATCTATAGACGTTATAAAACTTCTATATTGACAAAACTTCTACATTGACTCAGATCCTATGGCAGCCACAATGTTAGTCACCAGGTCAATATTTTTAGCATTTCTTTTTCCCGACTTGGCCATCTCCAGTACTTTTATAGATCTTTCAGCAGTAAAGAACTGGTTTATTTTATTGGTTACTTCATTTCCAGTTATGAGATTTACCTCTTCTAATAACTACAAATCATAATTATAATTATTAAAATTTATCAACTATGAATTATTATTACTCCATCGATTTATAAATTTAAGTTAAAACACACCTCTTAATGCTGGATACTCTTCTAGTATTTGTGCTGTGGTAGAATTAAGTATTATTCTCCTTCTATGCACAAAAGTTTTTGCCATTCGATCTCTTACCTTTGACATATCAGGAAGACTTTTTTAACTCATTTGAAATGGTTTCTTTGTGTGCAATGCAGCTTAGCAAATCCTCCATAGCGTTTGTTTGCATCTTATACAAAATTTAATAAAATTTAAAGCAACGATATTCTCTCTCTCTCTCTATATATATATATATATATATATTTATATATATATATATATATTTATATATATATATATATATATTTATATATATATATATATATATATATATATATATATATATATATATATATATATATATATATATATATATATATATATATATATATATATATATATATATAAACAATATTTGCAATAAAAAAAGTAAAAAAAAAAAGATTTTAAATTTGTTTGCATCTTATACAAAATTTAATAAAATTTAAAGCAACGATATTGTCTTTTAGTGTTTTTTAGCAAAAATTTAAAAACTGTTTGATATTACTAAATATCAAACAGTTTTTAAAGCACTTTATATATATATATATATATATTATATATATATATATATATATTTTATATAAATATATATTTTTTACTTTATATATATATATATATATATATATATATATATATATATTTATATATATATATATATTTAATATATATATTTATTTTATATATGTATATATATTTTACTTTTTTTATATATATATATATATATATATATATATATATATATATTTATATATATATATATATATATATATTTTTATATATATATATATATATTTATATATATATATATATATATATATATATATATATATATATATATATATATATATTATATATATATATGTTTATATATGTATATATATATATATATATATTTATATTTATATATATATATATATATATATATATATATACATATATATATATATATATATATATATATATATATATATATATATATATATATATATATATATATATATATATATATATATATATAAGCTTCATTTAAAATAAAAAACAATTACAGAAAACTTACGTATGGCTTTGATGCCTTTTGACGTAAAAATACAATTTTATCTTGTAACTTCGGATAGGTTCGTACAATAGCTTGACATATAGCCTGATACATCAGAGAAGTTGGATGTCTAAAAATCCAAATAAAGATTTTTGTATAACCCAGTAATAGAGTAGTCGGAGATAGCATGAGCAATCATGTATGTAGGTGAAAAAAGACTCTCTCTCGCTCTCTCTCTCTCTCTCTCTCTCTCTATATATATATATATATATATATATATATATATATATATATATATATATATATATATATATATATATATATATATATATATATATATATATATATATATATATATATATATATATATATATATACATAAACAATATTTGCAATAAAAAAAGTAAAAAAAAAAGATTTTTAACTTGTTTGCATCTTATACAAAATTTAATAAAATTTAAAGCAACGATATTGTCTTTTAGTATTTTGGAAATCATATAATAAATACAGAATTTGAATAACTGATATCTAAGATACCGACCTCCGACCGTTTCTGTTTTGGAGTTACTGCACATTCAATATAAAATTCCTTTCTTTTTAGCATTGTACCAAATTTTTTATGTTCTTGTACTGAAGAAACATTATGCATTTTAGACCTTTCAGACTTAAATCTTGTTTTTAAGCTATCTAGCCAAGTTGCCTTTAAAGAAATTATATATATATATAATATTATATATATATATATATATATATATATATATATATATATATATATATATATATATATATATATATAAAAATATATATATATATATATATATATATATATATATATATATATAAAAATATATATATATATATATATATATATATATATATATATATATATATATATATATATATATATATATATATATATATATATATATATATATATATATATATAAACTAATAACTTATTTAAAAAAACCTACTACTTACAAAAAATATTGCAGCAGATCATCATAAACAATTCTAATTAACTGCTGCTCACTCGACACATCTAGATCCGCTTTAGAGCAGGCTTTCTCTAGTGCTGCTGTTATGTGCTTTGGGAGCATTGATATACAGTATACTGTTGGGAATGATGGCAATCCAGATTTATTGAGCATATGCTCAGTGCTACTAGATTCACCTTCTTGTAACAGCGAAATTGGCGAAGAAAACAATGATTGAATACAAGATGACACTTTTTCAGGAGACTTGTTGCAGTTACAGAATCTATGCAATACAAACTAAATAGCAATAAATAACATAGCATTTATAATTTTATTAACTATTTATAACGTAATTCAAGATGTAAATGAGAGAATAAGGCGTTACAAGATAGAGTTGCATTTTTATGTCAAAAACAAACACGAAACACGAAATGCAATCACAAAATCATAACCGTAAATAAAATATGGTACCTTTTTTCGCCAAATTCTAAGGTGGTCATTATAATCCAAAGCAATAAAATTACCTATTTTCAAAAATAAAAACTGTCGATAAACAATTTTTTTTTAACAATTTGGAATCCCAGAAAAATACAAAAATAAATATAATCAACACATATTCTTTTTTAAATACTCTGCATTTTAATAATTAAATGTTTTAATACCATTAAAAATAATCTTACTGTAAACTTGCCATTCCTCGCCATCACGAAGAGCTAACAACACTTCACTTGAAAGACTAAGTAAAACATCACTTTTATCTATTTCCGTTCTATCACTATTTACAACAATTTTAGCAGGAGAAAATTGGAACTTCTCAGACACTGGAATTAAAATTAAAAAATAAGTTAAATAAATAATAAATAATAATTACTTAACTTTTTTTTTTAATTAACTCTCCCCAGGAATACTTTAAATGATAACGTATTTATAATATAATAGTATTACAAAATTTCTTACCCTTTACTATCACCGTATCAAAATCTTCAGCAATAACTGCTCTTTTGACTAAATGATCGCCTGACCATATCTTGAAAAGAGGCATTTTAAATTAAATCACTTAGTTGAATTATGAAAAAACTGTAATACTCTATCAAATAATAAAACATTTATAATTTATTTTTTTTCGAAATATATTTGTATGTTTTTACAGTAAAACTAGAATATAAAGTCAATTGTAAATAGTATAGTAAATTAAAAAATAGAAAATACTAGTTTGATTGATACGAGCAGTATCATCAAACTAATTATATACAAGGTAAAGTAAAGTCAAAACTGAAATGAAGGTAATTAGGGTGTCTGCCAATATTTAAGGTGAATTTTCAATATTTTAAGGTGAATTTTTAAATTTCAAAATTTTCCAGATTGTTTCATGAATTTTATTTTGCAGAAATCTGAATTTTCTGAATTTTTTTTAATCTAGCAGACATCACCTGAGAAACATATATAAAACCAAATGTAGAAATATTTGTGGAAACTGAATTTTAATATATATTTTAATGCTATAAATATTTCAATTTTCTTATTTATTCTTTAAGCAAACACGATGCCGAAATAAAATGCCTTCCTGATTATTAACAAAATAGGAACCTATAGACGGATGATTAGCATGTTAACCAGGTATCACCACAACCCAATTGTTAGACTGCTCTATATTGTAAAAATCAGCAAACTTGATATATTGTTTTACTATTTGCAACACACAGCCTATAATCCAAGTTCCTTAAGGTGGTACATACCTCAAAAAATTATATCATAGAATATTGGTTCTTAGTTATCTCTTTTTGATTTATTTTGACAAAAATAAAATTGCAAATAAAAAAAATAAAAAATAAATTACAAAAAATAATTATTCTTGAAAATAATTATGCAAATACCTTAATTATGCAATTTTTTTGTTCCAATATATCTTTTTATTGCAAAAAGATATTTACTTTGCAAAACTAATCAATAATGATGCAATGCATGTTCTGAACTAAAAATATATTAATAAATCCAAAGAATAACTTTTATTTGCTCAATAACAATAGTTCGGGTAATTTTCCCCAAAAAGAAGTACAAAAATGCATATAAAAATAAGTAAACAAAAAAAAAAAATATTTTTTTAGTTCAGAACATAGACCTCTATGTAAAGAATAAATCCTGAAAATTTCAATTAGTTTGTCAAAACAGATTTTAAGTTATTTAGGATCAAAGTTAAAAAAATGTGAATCTGAGAAAAACTCATTAAAAGAATAAAAACTAATCTAAACAATTACTATTAAGTCTAAAAAGTTCCAGAAGCATACATTTCACCTTCTGTAGCAATATTTTTATCATCAAAACCCTTTTTTATTGCTCTGAGCTTTTTTCTTTGTTTTTTAACAATATCACTTTATTTTTTTTTAGAACTTTTTAAGCCTTCTTTATCATATTTATGTAAGCCGTATATACAAAATTGACCAGGTTGCAAACCAAAGCTATGATAAACACTTAACAAACCATAACCAACTTCATTGAAACATAGCACTGCAGATGCTACAGCTATATCAATTAATTACTTTTCTACAAAAACCTTTTTGGGGCACCGTTTCCATATTAAACTATGCAAAGCTTCATTAACGTTTTGTGTTTCACCGACAAGACAAGCTTCAACTAAAGTATCATTGCCTAAATCCTTATAACTAAAAATATTTTTGATTTTATCTGCAATAGCAGCAGGAATATTGACTTTACTTTTATATTGATTATTTTTATTTTCAATGGCAGTCTTGTATTTACACCATGAATTCAATGGACAGTACTTATGACGTTCTTCAGGCGAAGTATTTTCTGAACAGTGATAAATAATTGCAGCTACTGCCTTTTTCATGCTATATAAGTTTCCTTTATTAGCTCTAATAGCACAACCATAATAGTTCTGAAGTGTGTTTATGACTTGATTAGTAAGACGGTTTTTTCCTGATATTGTTTTTCCATCAGAAAGAATTTTTCCTTTGAGAGAAACTTTTATCGCACGTAAACGTGTTCCCATTCTTTTCTGGACATGGCCAACACACTCTTGTTTCTTTATTGTTAATCCAGGATAAGGGTTATTTTTAACAACTTCAAGAAAGGATTTACTGTCGCCATCACCCAGATAAAATAAATATCTAAGTTTTCTTGTAGTAATGGATCTTTGAAAGATTTTTAGTACACCAGCAGTTTCCATTGAACAAGAACTTCCTTTATGATTAATAGAGCAGTTGTGCTCTGCTTTCCAACAGTCATATTCAGAAGTGCCTTTTTTGCATTTCCAATATTGGCACTGTTTACAACTTTTAGTTAAGGTCTCGACATCTATACACTTACCGTTTGAAATAGCAGTAACGACTCCATTCATGGAGCTGAAACCACGACGCTGCCATGATCCATCAAAACTTGCAGTAACATTTTTTATAGAGGAACTATCATTTACTGAACATTCTTCTGCTGCCTTTTTCATTGATTTTTCAGACTCTGAAACATAAGATCTGTGGAGTTTCTCATTTATAACATTGTAACATTTTAAAGACATTGCTTGAGGCAGGTTCATACAACAACTAAAACGTTTGATAGCTAAATGACCTTTTCCAATTTCACGAAATGCTAAAACAGAGCAATAGTTAATATCATATCCCTTACCACCATTGTTTTTGTTAAAACTTGAAACTTTTTTGGAGGTATAAAACTCGTGTTTCCATTCACAGGTACAGCAAGTAAGTATAAAAAGATGTGATAATCCTTTTTTTTATATATATTTAGTTAGATTTTATGATTAAAATCTAACTTTCCAAGACATATTGGACAAAAACCAACTTTATCAACAATGTTCTTAAAGATTTGAGTGTTAAAAAAAACATAGCATTCAATATTTTGACTGCAATTTGTATCTAATTCATACTTGAACTCGTCATTTATTTTTATTTTTTTAGCTGATGCAGATATACTTATTTCGTTTGTTTCTTTTGTTGTTGCTTTGGACAAACCAGAATTTATTTGGTTTTGAGTGAATCTGTTACCATAAAATTTTCTTTTTCTAGCTTTTGATTTCAGTTTTCTGCTATTTGAGTCCATTATAAGTAAAAAAATTTGGTTTTATATAATAATGAGAACTTAACCTAATTTGCATTACATGCATCTAGTAAATATATGGAAATACCGTGGTTGTGTTGCTTGGAAATATGTCTTTAAGTCAAAACAAAAAGCTATATGATATAAACTTCCATACTGAATGAACACAAATATAGATAAGAAATATAATAAATTCAGGTATCACCCTGGTTGCTAAGACCGTTGCTAAGGAACTAGAAAATTATAAACATTTTAAATGCAAAAATAGACTAATTTAGATGCTGTTTAATCAAATTTTGATCTTATTTTCAGAATCAGCAATGTCAAATTGACCTGAAAAATGGATAATATAAATTTTGAAAATTTTGAATTTTTTGAGGTATGTACCACCTTAAAACAATAATATATATTCAACTTTTCCGAATAAAGGCATGTCATTGCAACCTTTCATTTGACAAATATTACTTGTGTTAGTATAAAAGATCTGTCCATTAATTTTAAGTTTTGTGGTAGATATAAACTGCTCAAGTTGATTTATTTGATGGGTATTAACAAATTTTTTTTTATGGCATCAACAAGTTCAAATGGAAGTGAATCTATAGATAAAGATTTTTGACAACTTAAAATTTCTGGACCCTTATAGTATGGGCTTCTTCCAAAATTCATTACACACTTGCGCATTTCATATCGTTGTGCCAAAGTAAATGTTATATTTTTAGAATTTTTTACACGACTCAAATCTCATTACCCAGAGGTGTCGCAAAGGTCCAAATTGCAATAGTAATCTAGGATAATGTACCAAAAAAATGTATTTTAGGTATAAATGATACTGGGCTAATTTGTTCAAGCAGAGAATGATGTCTTTGAATCAGATGCTCAAGAATAGGGATCCAGTTTATATCAGTTTCTGGTGCCAAAATGATTTGCACTATTTTCCGACAAAGCAAATGAAGCTGCCAAAAGTTATAGTTTAGAAGTATATCATGATTTTTTACTAGACGACTGAAAAATATAGGCAAAAAATGAAATAGTGACTATCGCTCTATTGCTTTTCCATGGATTGTTTTATTGGTCGATGCCAAATTTTTTGAAGCATGATATAGCAGGTTTATCACAAGTATCTGGAATACCATACTTGAATTTCGCTATTTCTTCTTTCAACTGATTAATAGTGAATAATTTTTCTTTGATAAGATTTCTTATAACCAATTGAAAAATTTACACTCAAAAGCTCTTCTAGTCCATCATGCATAAATTCAGGCGGGAAACATTCAATTGGATTGAAATACTGCAAACTAGATAACGAACAATGACTATTAACACCATACACACCACTGAGTGATTTATCGATCTTTACTTCTTGAACATGATAATTATGTAAATCTAACGTTCTCAGCTGACATAAAGATTCTGAATGAACAATTGAAAGAAAATTAAACAAAATCATGCAGTATCGACAAACTCTACCAGATCAGAAGCAAGTAGAAAAACCACCAAAAAAATGAGAGGATAAGTTATCGCCAGAGAATGTAACGATAGTACCATTGATATGTTCAATTTTGCCAAAAGTATTTAAATCAAGCCCATCTGCCTCAAATAATTTTATATCATTCCTTAGTTTATTTAAAATTTTATCGTATTCAAACATTTCGACAGCACTATATTGTGCAACTAATACCAAGTGAATATGTTCAAGGTTTGTCCATAAATGAGTTTCAATATTCCCAACTATAAAATAAAAAATTGAAACCTTGTGAGTACTTCTTCTGCTTCCCAGAGCATTACAGATTTCTAACTCATCATTATACAAATTTAAACTAATAAGTTTGTTGCTATTAACATTTAAGGATTTAAAATGTGTCCCATCAGAATAATTTTGCATAATACCATCACTACTAGCTGCTTTTAAACGGCATCGTTTACAACTAGCCCATATATCATCTTTTTGAAGATAGGTTTTCAATGTTTGAAGAATTAGAATATAATAACCAACTTTTCAATTTTTTTTAAGACTTTTTTTATTTTTTATTGCATAAATATATTATCTGTGTTTTCTACTACAATAGGTAATGCTTCATTGTTTATTATATTGTAACAACCACCAAGACTTTCAGTTACTTGACGACGATCATTAGCCTGCACATCAAGTTTATCCACACTCAAGGTTATTTAGTTTCATATTAGTAGTCATTTAGTTTCATTAGTAGTCATTTAGTTTCATATTAGTAGTCAAGTTTAGCCACACTCAAGGTTATTTAGCATATATAATTTTCTAAGATGATCAGTTGCAAACAGTTGAGAGACACTGTCATAAATTAAGGAAAAAGGTAGCACTTGATTCAAGACAGAGTCGTCATCTGATTCGATATTTAGCGCTTTAAGCCTTTTTCTTGTTAATGATACAACACTGTTCTGAAACAAATCAAGCAAACATTTAGTTTTATTACATATTGAAGAAGCTGTTGAAAGAGGCAGCATGTATTTTTCGCGCAACTGCAACTTTGTTATACATAAATTATTTAAAAAATATTCTAAAAAATCAGAAAATTCTGTCAATAATTTTTTAGCATTTTCATCCACACTTTCAATAACTGCTATATTCTCTGCTTCCGTTTCCACAATAATTTCAACGTTTTCTCCTACAACTTTAGATAAATTCAGTTTATCGGAAGTTATGGAAACTAGATGAGACTGATCAAATTTTAAAACATAATACTATATGTATTAACAGTGTTATAGCAATAAACACAACCATCTAAACTACAGGACAAATTTAGATGTTTTTCACATGATGTTGCAACATCATGTGATTGATTAACCCTCGTGCATTATAAAACCCTTTTCTGCAAAACTCGACTTGACAATAATACTCCATGCCTAAATTTAAAATCTTAAATTGCTTGATAAACCGATGCCGCATGTATCAATAAAAACCAGATGCAGCTATAAATCTTTTATTAATACATATAATTATTATTTTATAATTGTCTAAGTTGCTAACCTTAAGTTTTGATTTAAATAAAAAACAATAAAATATTTTTTATAAACTATAAAATACTTTTATTTATTCTCAGCTGTTCCATATTTTAGGTAAAACCGTCACATTAAAAATAATAATTTTATAGTTTGCGAGCCGCATTCTAGTGACATTCAGCGCAAAGGTAGAAAACTCCTCAAGGGTATAACATTCTAGCGTTTTTAACCACTTAAACTTAAGAAACGATTTTTCTACCCTAAAAATATTAATTTTTACCGTCGGGTAGAATAATATACCTTTATTATACCTTTTTTTTTTAGAGTGTACTATTTTTCCAAGTATCGAAATATATTTTTAATTTTTTTATACTAGAATTAATTGTTTTAATAATGATTGAAATATTTACAAGAATGAAATTTTGATATGTGTTAAACCTTACCCACAACCCAACACCCGACTTTGAGATATACCTGTAATATTCGCTTGAAGTTGACTTCTTATGAGTTAACCTTCTAAAATTCTTAAAAGAATAATAAATTATGTTACTTTTTATAATTTTTTTTAAAAATGGAATATAAAAAATGGAAAATGGAAAACCTTTCTTTATTTTTTCAAATAATACCATTATTTAAAGATGTTATGCAACAAATTTAAAAAATATACCAATAGAATGATTCGCGACTACATTGGCTGAATATTGGCTAAGGCATTCGTGTAAGAACAGATTTTTATTGCAAAATATTGAGCTGATTAGATTATTGAGCCAAATCTAAATGTTGGCCCAACGGAATAAATGATATTTTGTTAGTTTCTTGCTACTTAAACTTTAAAACATTTCCGATTACTGTGATATTTGATCACTCTTTTCAAAATAAAGATTAAACGAGTGTTCTACTATGTAGTATTAACAATATCTTTGTAAACCAAACATCGAGGAGCAAGAATGTAGAGCCAAATTTTTAGAACAGCTCAACACTAGACTGATTTTTTCACATGCAGTGTCATAGAAATTATCGATAGAAAAGCAGATACTGTTGATACTGCATTAAGATTGATATCAGCTTAACGCCTCAAAAACAACCTCTCACTCAAAATAATGGCTAAGGCACTGGAGTTAAGAGACAAGCTCTTGTTGCGGTATCAAAAATTTTCCAGAAACTCACTCCGATATTAAACAATTCTGGTCACTGATTAATGCAAATGGAGCTAAACTAATTTTGCCTTGCGAAACTAACAAATATAATTTTTGGTCTTTAAACCCATTCAAGTATGCACCCTTGTACATGGTATGACATCAAATCCAAGTGTCTTGCCAAATCTGGAAACTTTAAAACACTGGACTCAATCAAATCTAGCCTCGAGTCTTTTAAGCAGTCTAGAGAGGTTGTGGCTCATGCAAAATGTTTGACAATGTCATTCGAAATCCAATCATCATTGGGCCTGACAATAGGTAGGGTGAATAAAAATGAGCAATTGCTTTTACTCGGTAATTGAACAGCTTTAAAATAAAAACTTCAACAATTTTGCTTTTATTACGTAAAGGTGAGAAGTTACTATTAAAAAGTAAATTGCTTAACTTTACGTGAATAAAAATTTGAGCAAAACTACTGGAGTTTTTAATCACGTAAAGCCGACCAATTACTGAGTAAAAGCAATTGTTCGATTTTATTCATCCGGCCTAATGTCCTGATTTCGGAAATAATTCCATCGATAGAATTGCATCTCCTTATAGGAGTTTTCGATCATTTTTTAAAAATACTTAAAACTGCTTGGTCCCTTAGTTGAATTTCGCTAAAATAATTAAAATTTTCAAAAGGTGTTACTTAACAATATTTGGTGCAAGCGAACACCTAAAACTCACACTGTCTTCTACCACCTCAAAGATTTCATCAGTCGCAAAGGATTCCACTTATGGCTTTATAGTGAACAAACTTTCGAAACTGCTCATCATTCTTTCGAAACAGGCAGCAGAAAATCATAAGTTACGGTTTATAATAAGAATTTTGACCATTTTAATCGTTAAATGCTGCTAATTATTATAAATTTGAATAATGCATGTAAAATTATTGAAGAGTTTTTGAGTAAAAGGGTATATTAGGCTGTTTTGAATAAATTTCTAATGGAGAAAATCAAAGTCCATGTCCTACAATTTTATCAGATGCTATTTGATGGTAATATAACGTAAAAATTAGCGTTTATTTAGTTATTTTTCACGTTATTTTGAAAGTCTATATATCTAAGAAAGTTTCTAGGGCAAATAAATAAAAATTCTTTTAATAGAAACGATTTTTTTTTGTTTTGTTTTACCAACGGATGGTTCTTCTGCCAAATTTTACACTTTTTTTAGCATTATTTTTTCATTATGGAAGCAATTTATACTTTAAGAAATGTTTATATATTAACGCTGTACATTAACCAATTCAAACTCCAAATAGCAAATCAATATTTTTGTCTATAGAATGAAAATGGTACATGCAGCAATAGTCTAAGGTCTAAGTAGCAAGAAACTAACAAAATATAAACTAAAACTGACATAAATCATTGACCAGTGAACCAATCCGACTGAAATTTTATCAAGAGTTTGGTGTGATCATATGTTAAATGTCAATTGCGCCAATTTTGATCAAATTATATGTAGTGTTTCTCATTTTACAGGTGTTTTTATTATCGCACTATAAAGTCAAAATTACACTTAAATTGCACATTCCAATTAGATTGACAAAAAAAAAGATTTCAAAATTTGCGGACAAAAAAAAGATTTCAAAATTTGCATTACAGGGTACCTTGATGTGTTCGCTCTCACTCAATATAAGTGGCGTTCTTGGTTCAGCTAGGTTGGTATTATCAGGATCCGTGCTAACCGTGGTATGTTAACACTTAAAATAATGAAATCTTTTCTGATTTTATCTTTAATGATTTTAGTGTTCGGTTTTAGCCATTTAGCTTTTAAATTGTTTATAAAACTGTATTTATGAGATTTTATTTTTTCTTTAAAAGGAGATTTTTTTTTTTTTTTTTAATTCACCTCCTCAAGACCGAGAAGGCCACTACAGGCGAGGAGGCTACTTATTTTGTGGTAACAACCCTCCTTCAAATCTATAACTCCGAAACACGAACCTTGACGAACAAGGCCGCTGCGCGGAGAAACAAGTTGAGCGCGGTACTACCAGGGATGTGGTGGGAATCGAACTCGGAACCACTCGTTTATGAAGCAAGCGCTCTTGTTCATAAACGAGTGGACAAATGTTTTCATTGCAAAACCTTCACTGCGTATTTTAATAAATCAAATATTTTAAAAAACCGCAAATGTCTATCGAAGTTAGATATTTCCTTTTTCATTTCATATTTAAAGCTAACTTTAATTAAATTTTTTATCAAAATGATACAGAATATTAATGATAAAAAATCAAAGCAAATACATTATAAAAATTGTTATGATGATTGCTTTAGAAATACAACCAATTATAAAATAGAATTAATTCCAATTATAACGTAATAATAAATAACAATAAAAATTAACCAATTATAAAATAGATATCCAACCAATAATAAAACTAACAATTTGGTTATTATATACTTACAGTTTGCCAATTTTAACCCTAACCCTCAAACTGAGGACCAAAACAAAATGACAATATATCCAGTCCACTCACAGTTCATTTGAAATAAAAATTAAAATCTGGTTACACCATGCCAGAGAGAAAATTGAGTTTTAAGTTAGATAGTAACATTTTGCAATATTTTGTGCAATTTTCTGCATAAAAAATATCTTGTATGATAAAAAACGTTAGTAAAACAATTTTCTTCATTTCGCTTATGTCAAAAAGAGTGCCTGTTACGTTTCTGAGAAGTTGTACATAATAATGCTTATTATGATGAAAATAATATATTTATATTATATTCCTCCAGACCTTTTTTTTGTTGATTAAGCAATGTTTGATTTTAGTGTTATAGATATATGTTATCAGTAATAATTCATTAAGTGAAAACCGTTTTTGATATCAACATAATATATTAAGCTATGAAACTGTAATCTTTCTAAAAACTGTCCTCTGGGGCAAAACCGCATAGACGCAAAGGAGGCGCAACCGCATACTTTTAATATTTATCAAAGTTAGGTAATTACGAATAACAATTAAAATCGTCAAATTTAAATGCACTTTTGTAAAATCT